GTGATTCAGAAATTACGATTGAAGAAGGAGAGCCTGTGGGCGTATTGGAAGAAGTGGCCTGGATAAGAAAATGCTCGGAGAATCTTGTGAAGAAGGACAGTACGGGAATAGACTTTGTAACGAAAATCTTAGACGAAAACAAAAGTCTGACAAAAGTGGAGACTATGAAAGCTAGAAATTTACTCCTTCGATTCTCTGATGTGTTTTCAAGAAGCGATGGTGATATTGGCCGAACTGGTTTGGTGAAGCATAAAATAAATACAGGTGATACAATGCCAATTCGTCAAAGGCCCAGACGTATACCATTCGCTCGTGAGAAAGAGGTTGAACAAATGATTGACGATATGAGGAAAAATGACGTGATAGAGCCCTCTTCTAGCCCTTGGTGTTCACCTGTCGTGCTTGTCAAGAAGAAAGATGGTTCAACGAGGTTTTGCGTAGACTATCGACGATTGAATGATGTAACCAAGAAGGATAGCTACCCGTTACCAAGAATCGATGACACACTTGACACACTGAGTGGCATGAAATGGTTTTCAACGCTCGATCTGAAAAGCGGCTATTGGCAGGTGGATTTGGATCCCAAGGACAAGGAAAAGACCGCATTCTCAACTGGGAAGGGACTCTGGCAATTTAAGGTGATGCCATTTGGATTATGCAATGCACCGGCAACCTTTGAGCGTTTGATGGAACAGGTGCTGGCGGGACTGCTGGGCGAAACCTGCCTAGTTTACCTCGATGACATCATCATCGTTGGACGGGATTTTGACGATCATCTAAGAAAATTGGAAAGGGTACTCGAAAAGCTGCGTGGAGCAAATTTAAAGTTGAGTCCAAAGAAATGCTCTTTCTTTAAGCGCGAAGTGAATTATCTAGGACATGTTATTTCTGAGAGAGGAATTGAGACTGATCCAGCCAAGACTGCCGCTGTTAAGGAATGGCCAACACCTAAATACAAAACGCAAGTTCGGGCATTTCTTGGATTATGCTCGTATTATCGGCGGTTTGTGAAAGGATTCTCGGACATTGCCAAGCCATTACATCGATTGACAGAGGAGAAACGTGCCTTTATATGGGACGAGGATTGTGAGCAAGCCTTTCGCGAACTAAAAGAACGGCTTTGTAAAACGCCAATTCTCGGATACCCCAGCGCGAAAGGAATATTCGTAGTTGACACGGACGCCAGTAATATCGGAATAGGAGGTGTCCTTTCACAACGCGATGGTGAGCAGGAGAAGGTTATTGCTTACTTCAGCAAGTCACTATCCAAGCCGGAGAGGAATTATTGCGTGACCAGGAGGGAATTACTGGCCGTAGTCAAAACTCTGCACCATTTCAAGAAGTATTTACTGGGACGGAAATTTTTAATCAGAACTGATCACGCTGCTTTGAAATGGCTGCTTCAGTTTAAGGATCCTGAAGGCCAAGTAGCCAGATGGTTGGAACAACTTCAGGAATTTGACTTTGAAATCGAACATCGCGGCGGAAGAATTCATGGCAACGCAGATGCATTATCGAGACGCCCATGCGTGGAAGATTGCAAGCATTGTGCCAAGAAGGAAATTGCTTTTCTTAAGGTGATAAGGACTGATACTGTTGACGAGGCATGGGGAGATGATGCGATGAAATTAGAACAGGAAAAAGATGCGGATATCAAACCAATACTGGAGTGGCTACGAAGTGGTAACAAGCCAAGTTGGAGTGACGTCGCCCAATATAGCGCGGTAACGAAAGGTTTATGGGCACAGTGGAAATGCCTTACGCTGCATAACGGACTTCTGTGCAGGAAATGGGAATCAACAAACGGCAAGGACGAGCATTTGCAATTGGTGGTGCCTCGTTCAAAAATAAGGGATGTATTAAAAGCGTTCCATGATGGATCTTCTGGAGGACATTTGGGAATTAGGAGGACTTTGGTGAAGATCAAGGAGAGGTTTTATTGGTTGCATTGCAAATATGACGTCGAAGATTGGTGCCGGAAATGCACTAGTTGTGCAGCTGTCAAGGGTCCACAAACAAGAAGCAGAGGGGCGATGAAAATCTACAATGTTGGTATGCCTTGGGAGAGAATAGCCTTAGACATCGCTGGACCATTTCCAATCACTGATTCGGGCAATCGCTACGTTTTAGTGGTTATGGATTATTTTACAAAATGGCCGGAGGTCTTTGCCATACCGAATCAAGAGGCAGTAACTGTAGCCACGAAGTTGGTAAACGAGGTATTCACCCGATTCGGAGTGCCCTTGGAGATGCACAGTGATCAAGGACGGAACTTTGAGTCCCAAGTTTTTCAGGAAACTTGTAAACTTTTGGGAATCCATAAGACTCGAACGACTCCTTATCATCCACAGTCAGATGGAATGGTCGAACGTTTCAACCAAACATTGGAACGACACTTAGCAAAGGTGGTTGACAGCCATCAGAGAGATTGGGACACTTACATACCTCTCTTCTTGCTTGCCTATCGGACTGCTGTACATGAAAGTACCGCAAAGACGCCTGCATTTGCAAATTTTGGAAGGGAATTGAGATTACCGGCAGATCTTGTATCGGGCTGTCCACCTGGCGACTCTCGCACCGAATTTAGCGATTACATAAGCGAGTTAAGGGCAAAAATGTTGGACATTTATGAGCAGATCAGGGAGGCCGGTCTTCAAGCTAGTGATCGCGCAAAGACGCGCTATGATCGACGAGCCAATTCTGTTGGGTTTGAAGAAGGGTCATTGGTCTGGCTTCATAATCCAGTCAGAAGGAAGGGAAAATCTCCGAAGCTGCAACCGAGTTGGGAAGGTCCTTATGAGATAGTCACGAAGATCAATGACATTACTTACAGAATTCGGAAGACTTCAAGGAGCCCTTTGAAAGTTGTCCATATAGACAGGTTGGCGAGGTATTACGGCAGCAACGATGCTCGGGACGAGCGAATCTAAGAGGGGGGCAGTGTGACGGAAAACTCTTTGACATCATGACGTCAAGGGATGGTTGTCAAACGTTGCCTAGAGATTGTAAATTTCGTCGTGAATTGTCAACACAAGTTGGTGTAATCGGTAAGGCGTGTGGATTACACCACAGAGACCCCGAGTTCGAGTCCCGCCGTAAACATGAAGTTTTTTAGTTGATGGAAGTTTTGTCGAACTTTCTGGAATTATTTGAGTGAAAGAAATGAAAAATTAAGGAGCGAGAAGGAGAATAAATAAAAATGAATAACGAAATTATTGGAAGGTTCTGGAGGCATGACGATCAAAAAGAATAACGAAATTGAATGTTCTAGAACCTGACCGGGGGTATATAAGCGGAACTGCGGCTCACCGCTGGCAGTTGAGTTCTAAGTCTAAAGCGATTCGGAAGAAAAGGAAGAAGTGGAAAAGAAGAAAAGTGAGTGAAATAGTGAAGTGCAGTCAGTTAAGTGAGTTAAATCAGCGTGAACGGCAAAGTTGTGTCAGTCGGCCGGACTCTGCTGCAGAAGAACGCCGATAACTTAACTCCGTGGATGCTGTAACTTAAGTGCAATAGAAAGTCTGAAAACCGGTATTAGTGTTTCATTTCATCCAATCCCGTAACCCAAGCCCGCATATTCAGGAACGTGACGTCAGGCACGTAACACTATGTAATAAATCGGACACCAACATGTGGTTTAACAAATGGCAACTGGAATAAGGTTGGCAAATCTCGAATAAATCGAAACGCTACATAAATCCTTTGTAGGTAAGTAGATAGTAAGTTTAGTTTGGTTTTTGTAGGTATGTCCTTATATAAGACAGAATTAGTATCAATTCTTTTCATCCTTTCAAAAGACAGTGTTAGTATCAATTCTTAAGTGTGGGAGAGCCAAGCTTCGGCACGAATGGGTCGGCTCGACCGGACTGATACCACGACCTCACAGAATGCCGACGTGAAACAACCACAGCGTTATGTTTCGCCGTGTGAGTGAGGTTACCGGAGACCCAATCTTTCCCCTCCCCCGATCCCTCCCAATCCCTAAATCTCCAAAACCCTAATCCCTAAAAGGTCGGCAACGCACTCGTTACTCCTCCGTTCGGTTGTCCATGGGCGGCGCTGATAACTTGCCATCAGGTAATCCGTCTGCTCGATCACCGACCTATTCCATAAAAAAAATGAGTTGTCTGCGTCAATTATAATGGAATCGACAGCATAGTGTTTGTGTTGTTGTTGATTTATTTAAAAAGAACCCTGTTCGCTTCTTTACTTATTTGCAACGATATAACAACACCAACCACTATACAACATAGGTGACAAGTACCAATAGGCGGGACCCTTTCTTCAGTTCCTTATATTAGGCAGATATCGCTAACCATTAGCCATTAAGCATTTTCGATTCTGCTTGTAGTAAAAATGCTTCACTAGCAACAGGAACATATAATGTACCCATTATGTCTTTTATTGACTAATACTTTACTACGAAATAATATTTTAGTTTTATTTTCCTTCTTATTATTAAAAAAACAGATGTTGAGTGGCCCATACTTGTTCTAAAAGCTATTTTAATCAAAAACATAATATGAAACGAAGGTTGAGATGGTTTTAGCAATAGCTGTTTTAGAAATTTCTAGGATATTAGACGTAAACGAAGATATTAGAAAAACATACCAAGTATTGAATAAAAATATTTATTATATTATTTTCAGTAACAAGTATAGGTATTATATTTGTAAATTACTTACAATTATCGTGATGGCACATATAGTTTTATTTTAAAATAACATTTATATTTATAGGTAGTCAATTAGTCCTTAGGGTGGTTTTTTTTACAATTAACTACGTCCAATATTCGAGCATAGAGCAGATGAAGATTGCTGGTTTATTTTCTGTAAGTATAAATTAAAATTCATTTCTTTCATGATTTGCAAAACATATCTAATCAAGAAAAAGGTAAAAGTGTGTTTATTTGACCCATGATCGATTTGTAGGATCAAATTAGATATCACGTTTTCTGTACCTACATCTGATTTACATAAGTGTTAATAGAAAACATGAGCAACGTCTTGTAATAAACCACCAAGGAACTATAAACCGTAGGTGCTGTTTACTCAGCATTGTTATTCTGTGCGTTGGGGTATTTCGCCTGGAAGCGCCACCGGTCGCGCCAGCAGTGAACCTGGTTGCGTATGCGGGATACATCAGCGGCGTACGTGCGACAACATCCGCCGACATACCGCACGCCCAGTTCCAGCCATTCTTGCACGAAAACTTCCACCGCTTCGCACTTATCCCGATCTATCCAACTGTAAAATAAGAATATCAGGTTGTAGTGATCTTTTGACCCACTCAAAAGAAACTAAAGGTTTTATACAGTAGCAAACAACTTGGTACACGAGTGGCACGTTCCCTTTGCGCAAAATGGATCACGAGCGCAAGTTTAAGTTAAAAGTATAAGTGTCAAGTCGGGAATTAAACTTTTCGTAAATGGCGCAAGTTTTATCTTTAGCGATGCAGGATATTGCTGGTACATTGGTGAACAACCGATCCGCAGCGGGGCTGCTTAATATATACGAATTAACAGACTAGACTGCCCGGCAGGCTTTAATTCTAAGAAATATTCCTTTCAGCCAGTATTATATCAAAGTCGTAGCGGAAGCTACGTCGTAGTGCGTAGCACGTTACAGCGCTACAACATGTAGCGTGTGCTACGAATAATATAAGTGTTTATTTTTATTTAATATGTATTTTTTAATTTTCTTTGTAGGCCTGTCGTTAGATTATGCTAATAGTAAAATATAAATAGTCCATTACGGCGTAGTTTTGGTCCCATTAGGAAGTGAAATCTTGTCAACTACATTCACTTGAGAAATACAAACTAAACCTTAGATAAGTTATCCAACTCGGAAATCTTACCCTATTTGAGGGTTGTATTTTTCGCCCGAATTGGGGTAAACGATAAGCGGAATGGGGTCGTGTGGCCGGTCGTCGTTGAAGCCTTTCACGAGGTTCGACACAAAGGATGGCGCACAGCAGTTCACTCCCACGGCAACTAGCTGGTCAGGGTTGGTTTCCCAGCATTTCTTTGCTACCTTTTGAAAGCTTTCACCGTGAGCTATACTTTGATTGTCCTGTAAAAAAGTAACAAAAGTCAGACACGGCAAATAAAACGCTAGCTGGAATTTGTGATCGTATTGCGACAGTTAAAGTGGAAAATTCTTCTTCATCTGGAAATGGACAGAAAACACTAAGAAGCAACAATGTTTCGAAAGTGCTTATCGTTTCGTTAAAGTTGTAAAAGTTGGCTGAATCTCAGCGACACTTACAGCCGTACTGTTGACTATTAAATAGGTACCGACGGGAAAATTTATAGATTATTTTGATCTGTAATAACCTATATATCGTCAAACTGCCTGAAAGTTAGTTTTTAAATACTTTATAAAAAGAACTCGGTAGTCGCAATAGGCCGATGATGTTTAATATTTTTATGTTTTTTTTAAATGGCTACCCAACCAAACATCGCTGGCCAAATATCGTACCGAAAATCTTTTGGGCACATCCTTTATTTGAGGTGATCCGCTTTTTGTCCTCAATTCAAACCATTCGTATAGACGGAATAACAAGCTCTATTCGAATTTTTTCGAAGCTGGGTGTATTCTCGATGCTTACTTGTCGAATTCGGACACCTATGTATAAAAATAAATGACTCACCCAACACTAGAACAGAACAAGCCAGTGACGCAACATGTCAATACCAAACTCCCACCAATAGATGATTTTTGTTATTTTAGAATTTCAAAATTGCTTAGGAGCGAAAGGGGAAAATTTATCGAAGCTATTACGTAACTCATCGATCCGCAATTTTGAATAAACCAACCTAGTTATGGTTCACCAGCTTTCTTCATGCCTCTTTCATTTTAAATGTTATAAATAATATCAGGAATTTGAAATACTGCGACGGCGATGATATTAAATAACGTCAGCTTACCCACTTACCTTACAACTGAATGCGATCCAAGCCTTTATGTGAGGGAACTCCCGAAGAAGGTCGCATAACATCTCGGCTTCTTCTTGACAAGGAATCGTCTCCAAAGCCAGGAGGTCGACTCCAGCTTGTACCAGAGCCTGGATCCTCGGTCGATGCCAATTTTTCATAGTCTAAAAAAAAGGTTTAACTGTACATTAAAATCTAAATAAAATAACACAAAAAGACTGTATAATAATTGTTATAATTCTAAACTAAAACATGGCTTTGATAACACAATAAAATAACTCCAAATTAATTACGGCGCACATTTTTGTAACTTCATGTTTGTTTCAGATAGCCATTTGTTCTAGGTTTCGTTAATTAACTGTCCACCCCAGTCAAATGCTGTCGGTACAGGAAAAAAACAAGAGAAATGGAGTGGAGTTTTTCATATTGCCGATGTAAATTTTAATTTGCAGGCAACTTTACGGCCCTCTTTACGATTTAGCCGCCGCTTTCAATGGCCTTTATTAGGCTATGCATTCGTTGCTCTCGAGGTTCCGTAGATATTATCGAGTGACTGATTTTATGTTTATTACATCACTATAAGTCACATTATATTACAATCATGTTAAAATTTGGGAATAATATTCGTATTAAATATGAAGATGCAAATGCACAATGTAGTTTCATATAAATACTTGCATTTTCAAACTACAAAAGATTACATTATGAAAATGTGTAGCGCGTCTGCAGATTCGTGAAAAATCGCCTCAATTTTGCTAGTATGAGCAAGTTATATTATTCCTGAAAAGCGGTAAAGGTAGGGAAAAGTGTATCAAAGTATTCAATGGTGCATTATATTAACCTATATACAACAGACTTTAGACAACAGAAATAGTGAGATGTATGCTTTTGTTTAAATGCTGAAAATATTAATAACCCGTCTAACTGCCCTATATTAAACGAAAATCAGTTTTCATAACAAATAATAATGACTTATTTTAGTATTATTCACCTAAACTTAGCCAATAGCTGCGAAGCTACGAAAAAAATTCAGACAAGGGTCCCTAAAATGGAACAGCTTAGTTAATGTAGAATAATAAAAATACTCACTCAGTGAATTCAGGGCTTTTAGTTAGAAAGCTTTACCTTTAACATTCGAACAAGATCGATTCAACCGATTGCCACCCTAAAAGCACCTAGTGACAAATATATGTATAGAAATAGACAAAGAACCAATTTAGCTTTGGCTAAAATCATTAATTATTTACTACCTCCATCTGAGCGACTACTCAGCTAGCTTTAGATATCTATCTATACCCAAACAACAGCTACTTTAGACAATATGTAGACTTGAGTAGTTGCATATGTGTTAATAAGATAATAATAGAAAATATGATGCAATATAACACCTATATGTGTAAATTTACTAAAAATGTTTTACTTTCAACCAGCTTTACTAGGAATTCACAGCTGTTGCCGGTGTAGCGATTGAAAAAAGGTAGGTAACATTTTTATTTGTTCTTTTTTTATTACGTTTTCATTGACAGTTTTATTTAAATATGGAATTGACATATTTCCCAAATAAAAATATTGAAAAGTTTATGTTTATGATTTATAATAAAAATGTGTATTTACCTCAACCGATGTAGTGTCTGCGTAACTGCCATCGTATTCCGAGCCATCGTGCAGGTGAGCGCCATAAGGCCCAACCGAGCCCACGATCAGCGGGATCCGATCTAAAGGAACAGGTAAGTTATCGTAAATACGCCAAGTTCTTGTTTATAATATCTCCACCACTATGTTCTAACATTGTCTACGCGAATACACATAACTTCCAACCCTTGCAAAGTGTAATTAATGCGTGCTTGCAACCGACCCTTACCGCTGCGGACCCTACCATCTTTGTTTACGGCAAAACACAAACATTCTTGAGATTTTATAAATTTAAATAATAAATTACATCTGTTTTACTTTTGTGAATTTCAAGTAGGTATCGCTATGTAAAGTTTAGGTCTGAAACTAATTTAAAAACAGGTGGAAGCACCGGTAGGTATTACTGAGTTACCTTTTAAATAGCCACTTGTCATTCTAAAAAGTTATACCGGTCATAAAGTACATGATAAATCCGTGATAAAGATTTAAAAGCGTATTTTGAAGTGGTTTTATAGCCTATTTACTAGAAAATGAATGACGACTCGAGAAATGAATGTTAAATTTGATATTTGCTTCATTACATTGCTTTTCGTTTAAGAGAGTGTCATTATTTTTTTTTAAATTAATCATTTATCTTTTCTCTTTTATGTCTGTTCTTTAAATGTTTCTCCAGGAATAGTATCACCACATATTATTTTTTAAACAGCTTTTTAAATTTCCCTTTTATAAGAGTCCAGGTACTACTGGTTCTGGCGGCTCAGTGATTATACTACTAACAAACCTCGTATTTTTGCTCGATATTTAATTAAAATCTTCGTACATTCAATTGTTGTAAATGTAATTTCGCTGGCCAAAGAACCATTTGTCATTTTCATTTGATCTTTTAAAGTCTCCCATTTACTCCGGAGGCATGTCTCCCTCGGTATTCATTTATGAAATATGCCACGGCATTCAGAGCCCGCATATTGTAATGTATTCCCGCACGAATGAATATACTTGCCGTTTTGTAAGTAGTCCTGGTACTCCTCCAGGTACGCAGAGCGCGCACGCTTGGCGAGCTCAACGGCTCGCATGATCAGCTCGAACGACTCCTCCGCTGTGATGCCCAGGTGCTCTACAAAACCCTCGACCGATGCCTGGTAAGTGTTCGTTATTATTAAATCTGCTCCCGCTGTAAAATAACCATAAAACACATTTTATAGCCCGCAAACAGTCATAACGTTAGGCACATTAATCACATTAAACAAAACCTGCATTTAATGAAAACAGATGAATCCCAAGATTAATAATATCTTTGACCGTGTCGCCAATATCTGTATGCTTTGCTTGTCGACGTTAATTAAAAGTCTACATACTCCGCAGTCGGTATACGAAACTAGTTCGATAAATATGGCTAAAGTTAAACTTTGTTTGTACACGAACTGAGCGGGGTGCGGCTAAGAGGCGTAAACAATTAATATTATTAAAACTTAGTAATGCAACACGAGGCCGGCTTGTTCAATATTACGGAAGCGAGGTCGGCAAAGGAACCGTTCTCTGTCGAAGAAAATAATTATGTAATAAATAGAAGACGGCGCACGGCTTGCGAATGGAAAGGTATTAGACAGACAAGGTGATTAATGGCAACAACGCTGTGTATCCGGAGTTGTAGTTTGTATACGAGGCGCTGGCGGCTCGGAGCGGGAGTCGCGCCTCCTGCCGCCTGCCGACACCGTACTATGCAAATGTGAAGTAGTTAGTCGATGAGGGAGAAATAGCGGCATCACTTGCCAACTTGCTACAGCGTCAATCATAATAATCACGGCGGAACAGCTGCAACTTACCTAACGGGAAAATATGTAAGTTGGCGACTTTATGGATTAGATACACCGTACAAGCTGTCTACAGTTGTTATACTGACGTAATATATGAAATACACTGATAATGGACTTTATTAATGTGTTAGGATATGTAGGTACTCATATTGCCATGTACATCGGAACATTACACAGCGATAGTAATGTCTGTTATCTTGTCCGGTATTTTCAATGAGACGGGAGTGTAAAAGCGTTCATGATTTCACAAAGTACGCGGTCATATTTTATATTTTTTCACATAATATCTTCTATAGGAGGAAGCAAAGCAAGGCAGTAGGCTTTTCCCTCCAGGGAGTTATTTGCTTGCAGACACTTTTCAGCTTTTCCTTATGAAAAGAAACGGTCCGTTTTGTGGTGAAGAAAAGCGCTTTCAGAGGACGATGACACGAGACGAGGTCGCACTCTCGCTGTCAGATGCATGAACATGACAGGCTAAAAGCGACCTAACGTGTAATTCGTCAAAACACGCATGTTCTGTACTCTTGTACTCAGCCGCAACGTTTTGCGGGCCTATGTTAGTTGTGTTACTATCTGTGTAACTTCGGAGGCGTTTGCGGTTTGTTTTCAACTCTATTTCGATTCATTCAAACTTTTGGGTGACTAATATTTGAATTCCTTTCAGTACTGTTTGGTTCTGTAACTTGGACTAATACATAATATGTTAAGACCTTCATACACGTGTAGTACATAGTTTACGTATGTATAGCCTTTTTTTTTTTTTTTTTTTTTTTTTTTTTTTTTTTTTTTTTTTTTTTTTTGTCAGGGGAAAATCATCCAATGACTTCTCCCGCCCAGGGTAAGGCGAGAGAGAGTGTCAGACTCTTACTGACTAAAAACCCCCCCGTTCCTTCTTCTGCTCTGGGCCGAGGTCGCGGTGCCTCATTGCGCTTACCCCGCAGCCCCGGCTAAACATCAGCCCTTTAGGGCCCCGACTGTGGTGGTCTATTGGCTCTTTGAGGCGCGCGTGGAACGCTACGCGCCGTACGCTCGGGTCCAGTTCTGGTCGGGCGGCGAGCTACCCTTACTCGCCGTCCGCAGACCCGCGCTTACGGTGGCCGGAGATCATCCCTCGATCCCCGACGTCCGGAATGTCGCCTTCTGCGGCGGCTGGGGCGCGAGGAGGATAGTTCCCTCACGCGCTCCGCCTCCTCCTTTGCGAGCATAACTGCTTCGCAGAAGGAGGAGATAGCTTCCCAGTTCCTCTCACGCTGCACCATGGCCTCGATTAAGGCCGGGCGCGAGAGGTCGCCGCCGCCGATCACTTCCCTGAGAACACGGCGGTGCTCAGCCCAAGCAGGGCACTCCGCCACCGTATGCTCCACCGTGTCCTCCAGGTGATCCTCACAATGACGACACTCGGGCGTTTCCTCCCGCTGGATCCGAAACAGGAACCTACCAAAGCTGCCGTGCCCGGTAAGCACCTGCGTCAGGCGGAAGGTGAGGACGCCGTGGCGTCTCTCAAGCCACTCCTCAAAGAGGGGTCTTACCGCTGCTATAGTAGCGTGCCCGGCCCTCGGTTGCGACAGTCGCTGCTTCCACTCAGCCATGAGATCTCGCCGGAGCTCATTCCGCCACGCACTAATTTGGCGCGGCAGAGGATCCTCGCCCCGGCGACGCGCGTCTGCGCGCAAACTGTAGACGCGCGCACGTATGTATAGCCTACTTAATTAATGTTTACTACAATAGGTTATTCTTTTGTTAAGAGGATGAGTTTTCACAGTGGTAACTTAGTATGCTTTCGGTCATGCCACGTGTCCACCTTGCACTCTGCTGAGACATTAAGTAATGCGCAAAATCCAATATTTTTTCTACTACACACGTGGAGGTAGTAAAACATCAATTTGTAATAAATAACTTCTAACTTGTATATTACATTAGTTTGTAAGTTTTCTTTACGAAACTATTAACTGTACAATTAATAAAAGAACATTATAATGGATGAATGAAAGTATTAATGTTATAATTTTACTAGGAATGTTTAAGAAGATATTAAGTGTTCGTACCTTAGTTACCTTCCTGCCTACCCACCGTGCAAAATGGACACCGCAAGAGGTGATTAATATTGTGACTAAAGAAAAATCTTTTGCCTTTTTTAAAAGCAAAATTAAAATCGTTTTTTACCTCTTAAAAAGTCGAGGTGGGTGTTAACGACTTCTTCCGGGTGCGTGTATAGGAAGCGAGCACTCCACAGCGGGTCTCCGTCGATGACGTGCCCGACGTGACAAGACAGTTGTGTCGAGAAACCCCCGTCTAGTATCACGATATGTGGCGGCTCCGCGCCTTCACCATTGGTTGGAGTCATTCTTCAAAGTATATTATCTGAAATTCAATGAAATGGTTAAAACAAAAGATAATACTCACGCGAATATAACTGCTATTAATAAAAATCTGTCAAAGAACTTCAAAGGCAGTCTTAAAAGTCTCATAGCAAAAGGTTTCGTTTGTCGGCTAAAGCTGAGTTGCAAAAATTGACGCAAACGCTTCGAGTAAAAAGCGACTGTCCGGTACACTTTACCGGGAACTTGCTAGCATTCAGTGAACCGTGCAACCAGATAGCATATGTATTTGTAAAATAGCTATATCAACATTCCGAGTGAATCTGGTAGCTGTCAAATCGTAGCTGTTTCAGACTTAATGTGTGGATGCATTCGATTGCGTACGAAATTACGAACGACTGCCGTCAAATGGATTAGTAACACTGCTCGCTCGTTTACAGTAGTTTCCGTCGAAGTAAATGTTAAGCGGGATTGGAACGTATTTGAGAGTATCGAGACGGTAATGCAGCTGTACCGCCTCAGGCTAGCTCTATGTTAGACCGGTGCTAATGGAGCTAGTTGGAGACAAAATCGTCGGGAACCACGCCAATATATTAATTTAATTCCACTACTTGCTAAAGAGAAATTGCAGGACACAACATGTGCCGTCCTCAGATATACCTACCATTTATTTTTATCTATAAAAAGTCTTGCTGGTCATTTATTTACATAGGTGAATACAGAAGCCAGCGTTCTTGGTACAACGTACGATTCTCGGAATTACCATGAAACAAATTAAACAAGCTCTCTTCTGTTCCTGCATCGTTAAATTAATTAGTTTTGTAGAAACCACATTAAGTTACCTAACAAACTTACAGCTTGTAGAACATTACGTAATAGGCTAGTTTTATTGGTTGTGTGTAGCGTCTTACCCTACGTTCATACATTTATTCATACTAACTAAACTGAACACAACTTTGGATGAATGCGATCCCGGGGGACATGCTACAATAGAAAATTGCGAATGTTTTTAACCAATCAGATAAGTTAATCTGATTTACGAGAGTTCCCAGCAAATAAAACAACTATTCTGTTTACATTTTGTCTAACTTTTTCCCGACCTAAATGTGAAGTTCACCTTTGTGGAAGGTTCGTTTGTTGAACTTCGTCTGTCTGAATGTCTCAATAACGTTACGCTAGTGTCTTAAGAGATATTGAAATTACAGCATTTATTGCTACAGTGTTTAGGTATATAAACATGACCTGACAAGATAACGTGTAAGCACATAAATACATACATATGTATAGTATGTACACGTAATGGGTACAGATACTAATATCATGTTCATAAATAAAGCTAGACGTATAAATAAATATCAAACTGTCAAATGTCCTTAATAAAATGTGTTAGGTATAAGTTCATGTTTATGGTCCCAACAGACGCTGGGGCACAGTGGTTACATTCCGATATATTTCAGCAACATATGCAGAGTTCTAATACACTTTATACAAGGTTGTTTTATGTATGTATAATAATAACATTGCAGTATATCGAAAAATAAATATAAAAATGCTTTTGCAATTTTTATTTTCGATGACGTTGCTGCCTTATAGTAATCAAAATATCGAAAATAAATTTACAATTACTTATACCTACTTCTTTTATAAAATATTAATGTTATATAACTACCTACAAAAAGCAGAGATTGGCTTCAAAACATGATTTTAGCTCCAAACAAGGCAACTCGTATTTTCCCCGTGTACCGGCGGGATTATTAATGGCTTATATCAGCAATGGCTGGGTACAATAAGTAACATCTGACTGCATGTACCACAGCCCTTTATACGAGTACAAACCGTATAAATTGCCGTGAGGCGTTACCATAGATGAAATTAAAACCTCTTCGAGTACCTAATAATAATCTGTGAAAAACTGTTGTAGTTAATTTAAAAATAAAAAAGTTACATCACGAAACTTCGACAAGTTTATACAATAAAAGAGATACGTAATCGATATAAATAAGTGTTCCATTTTTGAAAAATGATAAAATTCCTCATTCAACAGCAACGAACGCGCTTTGGAATATTTTGATTAATGATTGAAAGTTACAATGAAAATATAATGACAGGTCTAATCAATAGATTGACACCGTCAACATTAAAATAAATTTACAGGATTTATGTTATGAAATCGCATTTAAATTACGAAAAACGTCCAAATATCGTACCACTAAGTTATCTAAACTTTTTTTAAATAGCGTCAGAGCGATTGAGGAATGTAATTAACTATGAATAATTGGTGTAAAAGGCATACGTAATAAAATATCGTCATAATTAGGACTAAATTACTTTTTTCGATATATAAATTTGAAAAAAATAAGCTTTGTCATCACTTGTAAATAACTATTGTCATAAAATACCCCCCTTTTAAATCGTAACTAGTTACACCACTAAATATTAATTAAATAGATAAATGTTAATACAATACGAAACAATAGTATTATGACACTAAAATTAATAGTAGCCGTTAATATTAATTGCTCGTTATCACAGCTTTCATTGTTTGTCCAAATCAAAGGTTTAAGATCTGTGAGAAATATCGCTAGGTGTTCATGATCGTAACAATCGAAACGTAAGAATCGATATCGTTAGGGTATCGATATGGAGCGGTGGGAAGGGTTGTGGGTCGCGTTGTGTATTTGCTAATGTATAGTGGGTATACGAACACGTATGTGATACCTTTGTGCAGGGTCATTTAATAATAAGGAACTTATGCTTAGTAGCGATTTGACACAAAAACGGAGTCCTAACAGATTCGTCATGTACGTCAGTCCTTTGGTCCGTCAGTATTTCACAGTCCCTTTTTTATATATTAAACTTGGTATGTTACGAAGTCTGTGAACCATATGAAGATTTTTTACACAAAGGCAGAATAACAAAACGATTAATTTGAGGTCCTCATAGTTATAACTAATAATTTCACTAATTTTTTTCGCCAATTCATCTGTCAAATTCATTAACATATCGGCCTTTCGCAAAAAATGATCCATATCGCATTCATTACGAGATTTAAGAAAATATCCTCCCATTATTCATCCCTGATGGGGGGACTGTGAAATTCGTCATGCTCATGGTATACAGAAGCTAATAAGCTTGCATGTAATCTGTAGATGACGGGGCACGGTGACCACGGAAACCTGCATTACCAACGTAATCACAGGTGCGTCAAGCTGAATTGTCGCAGGTGTCTGTAATTACCGGCACCTATCCTTCAAACTGGGATTACGTACGTTGCTAGCTGCGAAAATTACCCTGTTTCGAGTTGTATTCGGAATGCGGATTGACATATCAATTCAAGCTGTTCGAATTTGACAAGGGCTTACATAACACATCTGTTAAGTATTGAATGAAGGGAAGTGTATCTAACTGTATTTACGCTACTGTGAACTTATGTGGGTAGGCAAGGTAAGAAATTCTTTTTTTTTAATGTGTGTAATAATCTATACTAATCTATGCTTGATATTATAAATGCGAAAGTAACTCTGTCTGTCTGTCTGTCTTTTCTTCACGCCTAAACTACAGAACCGATTTCTGTGAAAATTGGTACAGACATAGTTTGGAACTCGAGAAACGACAAAGGATAGTTTTTATACCAAAAATCTGCAGGAGATCACTATTCTACGCGAACGGAGTCGCGGGAAAAAGTTATTTCGCAATACTTTCCGATGATTTACTCATACATACCTACAATACATATTTACCTATCGTATCTTTTGATTATCAAATTTCTATTCAGAAATATAAGTACCTACCTAGGTACTAATACATAATTTAAATAGGTTTCAGGCTTAACGTCGTTCAAAAATTTAATTAAGAACCAACGATAGGTAATTAGTACCCATTCTATAGATGATAGACAAAAGTAAGAAAAATCTAATTGGCTACGAAACAACACAGAAATTTTGCTTTTCAAAGAAAATTCTTGTGTCAAGAAGAACCTTTAACAATTATAGGCAATGACTATCACGTTGGTCAAGAGGTCACAAATACGCCGGCAGATCACGAAATTGCTAAAGAATTTTTGGTTTTCCTAACTTTGGTAATTTTCAGCAGGTAAGAGCTTGGTCTAATAGAGGTGTCGGGAATCTATTAATTGATTCAGATAGAGTGAAAAGTATTAGACACGTATATTTTTTTTAGTAAAATTGAAATAATATCTCTGTACATGACGAATCACTTATATGTATTAAGTACCTGTGCTTAAGTGCCTACATTTTGTGTTGATATGTAACGACTTACGAAATTTTAAATAAATGTCGTTAAATACCGTCGAGGGTTTTTTGTAGAAAAGAAAATTAAAACGTATAAACAAATAAGTAATATAAAAACGTGTTGTAAAAATTGTGAAATAAAAAATAAAAGTCACACGCGACGGTTTTATTTAGCACTTCGTTGATTTTGTACGATAAATAAACATATGTTGGTAGGTATAGCTTTAAATATAATATATTTCCGTATCTCGCAGCTTTAAAATAGAGTGCACAAAACAGAAAAACTCAAAATAAAACCAAAAAGAAATATTGCATGTTGCTTGTTTTATGTTCACAATCTGAGCTGTCTGTTTTAAAATACGTATGTATGTACCTACATGTGTAATTTAACTATTAACATATTTACGACACGCAGGAAATTGTATATTTAAAAAAACTTGTAAGTGGTAACTGTGCAATTATTTTAAAATACGAGTAGGTACCTACTCGTATGTAACCACACAAAAATTGAGGGAATATAATATGTATTATTATTTTAAATCTCATGTGGCCAAATACTTACCTATTAATCAGATTAAGGGTTTGTTTCACAGTCCGAATATCCGCTGTATTCCACAGATTTGAATATAGAATGGAGTTTGTTTTAACTTGCCTCATAAGTTTATCTAAAACTTATGTTTAATTGGTGAAACAGCTGCTAAATGTATATTGTATAAGACTGGTAGGTATGTGTTTTAAATATATTGAACACATGTTATTCCCTGGAGTATTGCGTTAAAAAAGGGGATGTTTTTTGAATATTTTCGTCAATCCATGAGTGCATAAAATGCAGGCCAGAAAAAAGCCTATGCAGCATAGATTAAACAAAAGGCTATGCAGTATTATTATGTGTAATTAATATAGCAAATAGCACAAGCCAAACATATTTATATACAATTAAAAATAGATTAAATAATGATCCTTATTTAAATGTACATATTAGCTAATGTTGTATTGGTACTTACAAGTACTTAATTAAAGTAAAGATAAGTAATAATAAGTATGTTCAGTTATTGCTTCAGTATGTAATAAATCAAATGGTCACAGACCTCAGTACAATCAATAAATGAGTGTTTACGTGGTCAAGTCGCGACTTGTTATCGGAGAGAAATAATAAATATCATACCGATACACGGTAGAAACTAACATTGTCATTTTGTCTCATTATTTTTATAACAATTTGTGATTGTGTGATACGGATGTTTTAGTCGATTTTTTAGTTTCCAAGTGAACTAGATTTGGTTGAATGGTTGGTACAACGACTGCCAAACATTTAGTGTCTAATCAGTTCACTGATTTTCTTTTCCGGTGTATACAGTTATGAACGAAAAGTGGATGAAGTTTTTATAAAAAAATACAGTATCCATCCAAAATTTTTTCCTGCGAATTATGCGATTAGACAAATACACATCACATCCAGTACCGAAACAATTAATTTTAGTAAAACTTTTGTATACCTGCCTTAAATCGATTAGTTTACACTTTTACATTGACTGAACTTGTAGATCCTATGCAAAAATGCGGTGGAGAAATAATATTCCAATTTATTGAAAAAAAGTAGTAAGACTAATTTCAATGTCACACACCCAGCCAGAGTACAGCGGGTACATGCACGATATCAATGTAGGTATACACAATTAGCACAGAATTATTTGTTATACAATCCAAATTACCGATACCCATATCATTTGTTACTGGTTCACATGTCAACAAATCGGAAAATAACCATACCCAATAAATATATATGTACGTACTAGTCTAATATTATTTATTCTTCTAAAATATTGATTAATAATAAGGTATAGATATAGAACTACTCTCCAAGGCGTCAAGTATATAATATGTCGTGTGTTGTCAGAGAACTAAAGTTTGATTGGATACAATACCAAAGACGTGAGAACAACCGTCCTTGTTGATTGATCCCGTAAAACGGATCTTGTATGAATAGTGTTGCTTTAGGTAACTTCACAATAGTATTACACATTGAGAAGATTAAGTTAACTTGTAGCTAATGATAAATCTCTTCGACCTGCCTATCAGTAGTTACGTGACTCTCAGACGAAAGCGGAGGTCACCGCGTTCTGATTTCGTACTGCTCGCTTATCTCGCACAATTAAACTACCTACACTTACCAACTGAGTAATGCAATACGTCTGATCGACATTGTTTCAAGCTGCGCTGGAACGACAGGCATTTACGTATCGTAACCTCCCCTTGACAAACTCATAATTGTTTTAAAAGTTATACGCCGAGCTTTTCCGAAGCCCTCGTCGCGAAGTTCCAAAATTATTTTCGAATGATATAAAAATGTGAAGGACACTCTAATTAAACATAAATCACTACAAGAAAAACTTGGGGAGCCTCCTAAAAGCGGTTGAGACATTTTTGCAGCTAAAGAAATATCGTTTTCGGTGACAACAATATTTTAAGCGTCTCGACATACACCTGAGCACGAAGGGCGCCGAAATGAGTTATTGTGCGCCCTGATAACTTGCATAGACCACGAGAACCGCGAGCTTATAATACTCCTCAGAAATGTAGCGGGGAAATTAATGTTCCACTACCTAATACTTTTGTTATCAAACGCGTTTTATTAAAAATTATACATCGAAATTTAATTTCAAGAATACAGTAAGTAAGTTTAATATTTAAACTAGTTTTAAGAAGAAACTATTCAAGAAGAGTACCTATAACAAAGTATTAGTAGACACACAGTGACATAAATTATTGTTATGTAGGTCTGAGTAAAACATTACATTGATAAACGGTACATTGTAACAGAACAAATCGGTATCAATCATTCAATTTACCATTAGTTAAACTGCACGATAACATGCCATGACAATTTGGCGAGAGCACTGTATTAACTGCTATATTGATACCAGATGTATATTTCTGCCACACAATGCGAATACTGATTAAAAAACAAACATTTGTTATATGTGTGAAACGAAGGTTACTAGTTAGGAAGGTACCTTAGAGTCTATTTCTGTCGAAATAACAGAGACCTTGAAGATGTGGGAGTATGATGTTAATAAATTCTATCAAAACGATTAGCAAGATCGGCTCAGTCGATACACTTATCGATTGATTGATAACTACCTCGGAAAATAACAAAAGCCTTTAACACAGACCTTCACCATGTACTTTTGTTATTAATGGTGTACCAGAAGTAATTATATGTTGTTATAAAATTTTATGTTATTGTATACAACGTGTATAATAATTATTATTCATTTAAAGTAAACAACATTATTCATTACCTCTTATTATCTATGTCTTAGTAGTTTTATCGAATTCATAAATGAAAAAAAATACAATTCATTAATAAAAAACCAAAAATAAGCAAAGAACAGAAACTGTTACCAAAAAATAAAAAATTGAAAACGTTCTTTTAATTTTAATAAAATCATACATAGATGTTATTCATAGTAAACACGAACAAACTAAAAATACTCACGTTACAAGCTGTTGTTTAAGCGATTAATCAACTTAATATTTGGGTACAAATTTACAATTCACAAAACGTGAAACGACGTTCGATGTTTAATTTTTTTAATATTTAGTAAAACATGATTATTAAGCGACGCGCAAACAAGCACTATCATATAACACACGCGCGACGCTCGTATCTACGGCGTGATGCCCACACACTGGGCCAAAAAACTATAGCTACGGAAAAAAAACACGTGTCTTACAATTTATCTTGGAGAAACTGTTGTTGTGAAAACGATTTGACGACGCGATCAAGACTGAATGTTGAACGATTGCCGGGAGTTGACTAGGAGAATACATTAACATAAATGAATGCTTAATCAAAAAGCGACTTATCCATTATCTTTGTTTTATTATTTGTTAATCGTTACACATTAATTATTTACTTTACTCGCCGGAGCTAATCGAGATCAAAGGTTGAATTCCACTAACATCTAATTAGGGTAGGGATAAGACAAAAGAAATTTAAACTAAGTCGTTATCTACCCAGAAATTATAATTATGGTTTTTGTGTGTTGCTATCGGAATAATTGTTACATAATATTTCATCATTCTATCAAAAAGTTTAAGAGTATTTTTTACTGTTTTGTGATTATTATTCGGTACTTTTCCCTACTTAACAAGATTTCATTAAGTTTAAATATACAAAGAAGTATTTTTGTTCATATCAAAGCAAAATTATAAAAACAAAATAAGTTACTATCAGCAATTCTTATTAACGAGTATTTTTCCAGTGGCCGATACAGTGAGCCCATTGTGCAGCCCGATGGCTGCTGATTGGCTCGCGGAGTACATTTAGAGACACCAGATAGATATTAATAGAGTTATCAACATGGAGCAATGTACTCGCGACTCGCTTGTTCCACCAACCGCCACCAAAACGTTCCCTAATGATGTTACAACTTGCAACCATATGTGTTCAACCTTCTTTACAGGCTTTAGGTAGCAGAGCACTTTCATATGTAATGAACGTAATTTAAATATTGAAATCAAATTCTAAACACAAGTTCCCTCAAGAACAAAAGAGAACACAAATGAAATTTAAAAACCTTTTCTTTTAAAACCTTTCTGGTTAAGTTCTTTTTCGCTGGAATACTGAATACCCCGAAGCTCCGGGTATTATGATAATGAAAACAAAATATTGTATGTAGAAAGCACATATAAAATTAAGTGCAAACAACTGAGGTCGTGTTGTAAAAAGTCAGGCGACGGGTGGCGACCCGAGTCAATGAAAGGGCTTTACCCATGTCGTTAACGACGATACCATGAATCTACCTCGTGCTAAAGGTAATATTCCCTGTCCAAGTAGCAGCTGTTGAACCTTTATCGGTCATTCACCACGCGTCGGCTCTATATTTGAAAATTGTCTAAATGTATACCTACTGCGTTCTTAGTAACAAAATTTCCTGGCAAATTCTCAAAACTCGATGCTTTCATAAATAATGTAAATACAATGCAAGTCAGCGTCGATATATCTTGACTTGCTTATCATAGTTGGTGTTTATAAAGATAGTTATCTAAATTCGTCTCAAAGTCTAAATCTTACAGATAAATTGAAACGTTTTGCCAGACATCGGATATCTGATAGCAGAAGTAATAGTATTACCTACATAGATATCTAGTCAAACCACAATAGCTGTCTCATGCAAGTCAATTACGTCTATCTGCCGCCTGGTTAGTTATCCGAACACACAGATACAATATGAATTCAGTACGAGCGAGTTACAGTTGCACAGAACTATTAAACACAATTATTTCGTTTGGAAATTGAATTAAAATTCAATTCTGTTATCTAGATTAGGTGCGGTTGAAAATCTAGGCAGACAGATACACAAGATACGGAGACGTCGGTGCGCGCTACATGCTCACTTGTTTTATCTATTCAATTAAATGCTGCTGGAACGGCATCAGAACATTATGATAACAAATATAGTTTGCACAAGACCTCAATGTATCTCCGGTAATGGATATCTGTATTATGTTAATATATACATACATACAATGTAACATATGATGCATCTATTAAAGTCACAAAATCCATTAGAAATTAATAGTTAATCTATTTTTCCGTTAACTTATAAATAAGGAAATTTAATAAATTGTTACGTTATCACTATATTACCTATACGTACTTACACATAATTCTTATTATTTTATTCAAAAGTTCAGAACTAAAAACTTCAAGAAGTTGAAATTGGCACGACATCTGTTTCTCTTGGCTCCAGTATAAGCACTCCAATGGATTTTTATTCTTTTCACATTAGTGCTATACTTACAGGCAAAATTAGTTTACTTAACAAAAATTTAAAAATATTTTCCAGAAATAAAATTATGGTATGTTATGAATTAACAAACTGTTCAACAATTAAATCACATTTCGTTTCTCACTGCATGTTCAACCACCTTAAACAATTTTATAATGTGTTTATTGAAATTACCTTGAAAGCCTTGCTTCTACATATTGGCACAGCTAATAAGTTACGTCATAACCTCATCAATAATTCAAATTGCAAGATTTTGCTGCACGAGTATAATCGTTTCGTACAATCCAATTTCTTTGTTTAAACACGGAATTGAATATTGAGAAAGCGCTGCAAAATTCCGTTCTTAGGTATATATTTTAGGTTTGTATAGTATGGTCTTGGTGAATAATATATTATTATTTACGGTGGTGATTGGGGGCTACGTTCGGATGATATCCCAGCGCGCTGCGCACACTGCAGGCGATCGTGTCCTTATCCGACTTCATCTATGTAATGTAGGAACATGTATGTGCTGCTCAATACACGTGTATTGAGAAACTAACACCGGCGGCGTGACAAGTGCCCGATCTCTGAGTTTCTATCTGCAATGTAACAAACAGTCAATTAACAGACATTAAGTTACATTCACGAAACATTCTGATGAAATAAGTCACTTATTGGTATCATTTAAAAACAAAGAAAACCAAATCATTATTCTAAACTGTACATTCGTTTTTATAACAGTATTATATAGGTACAGAATTATAGACAGACCTCATGTTGTACACAACACACCACAACAAAAAATAGCTTTTAGCTTCGTTAGAGCAGGTATAAATGTACTCCCATCGCATGAAAGGGATGACGCTTTTGCTATGCGCGAAGTTGACGAAGGTTTTAATAGAAGATGCCGATCGCTTTCTTCGACACTTACTCAATAGTTATATGATATTTATGTATCACGATCCTTTTTGTTACAGAAAATAAATAAGTAAACATAGTGAGGAGTTGTTTCAAAAAGAAATCAATACTAAGTTGGGGAAAATTCATGTCAGATTTTAAGATTCAGTTAGTAAAAGGTTAGGTTCATTTGTTGTGATGATCAATGTCTAAATTAATTATTACGTTTTCGACTTCCTCACGTAGTAATTTGACATGATTCTCGACTACTTTCAGCCATGCTAGAGGTTCATATTCATGAGCAGCATTCCGCGACTCGCGACGGTCAGTAGCAGCGCGACAGTCGCCGCGACAGTCGACAGATACTCGACTAGTTTCAAGCCATGCTAGAGGCCGGTTAGAGGCTCGCGACGCGGCTAATGGCGAGTATGTCGTCAAATTATTACGTGAGTAAGCCGAAAACATAATAAGTCATTTAGAATGTTACACGAAAGTTATAATAAAAAAAAGAATCAATCACTAATGTTGATGAGTAAGAGTCAATAAAGTAAGTATAAGTAGTCCACATCAAGGACATAAGTGTACCGCGGCCTCGGCCTGGAGCAGAAGAAGGAACGAGATGGTTTTTAGTCAGTAAGAGTCTGACACTCCATCTAACTCCGCCCAGGAGAGAAGACATTTGACGATTTCCCCTCACAAGAAAAAAGATAGTTCAAACAATAATATTAATAAACGAGAAATAATATTAATCTTAAATATCGGGACGAAATATAGTCGGAAATAATATGGAATTAGAATAAATAAGGAAAAGAGAATAAATATAATGAGATTGTCCGTATATTATGAAGTCGGGATATCATTTTATATAGTTTAGGTGATAGTGGTCTCGTCTGAATAATATATACTCGTATTAGTCAATCAAGTTCGAATTGTAAGCAGGACAAGTTTTGATGAAAACGCGAACCAATCGTAAACATTTAACATAATATAAAATAATACTTTCCTAAGTAAATTAATAAAAGAATGAAATTGTATTTTTCAACGTAGTAACTCTGATATCGGAGTACCAAGTTTATTACGGCGTCAAACAATATATTTTGTTTCAGTTTTGTTGGGGAAAATTGTAGTGTATTTACGAATACACGAGATAGCTTCACCTTACCGATTTAAGCCGATTTTAAAACATCTGTGTACTTGCGTATCCAGAATATTTGATACTAGGTCGTTTCTGCGGCTTTGACCGCGGTTTGATTAAAGTAGACCCTGATGAGTAGATTATTGAAGCATATATTAGTCCCTGGTAAGAACAGTACGTGACTCAAATCGATTCAATAGTTCCTCTTTGTAATATTAGCAAAGATTTGAGTTTCAACTACTTGATCGACTGGTTGTAATTGCAACTGCTGAACACGGAGTTTCGAGTTCGAATCTTGGGTCGGGTAAAGTGTTGTCTTGTCAGTATGTCAAGGCGATAGGCTCATCCCTATTTACATACAAAGTGGGTGTTCAACCTACAATCAATACAAACAATGGTGTAGCGGTAAAAAAACTCCCAGATCGCAATAGTCTATGCTGAATTAGCTATGATCCATGACAAAGGAGATTACGTAGATAGAGTTCATTTGATTCCACCTGGAATTCAACCGTAAATTGGTCACAGCGAATTATAGTACTATTGTCCACTCAATTAGTAATCGGATCAGTAAACTAATTACGGATCAATCTTCCCAAGATCCTGAGTTGTATCAGTCTAATACACTGGCTACTATATACCCAATCAAACTGTGCCGGTAGGGAGAAACCATTAAAATAATAAAAACATTCCCCCGAAAAAACAATTCAACGCCGATCCGTCGATAGATAAAATGGAAATGTGATTAAATCGTGATTCCGACGATTTAGCTATCGATGTTGAATTAAAGGTAGGCAATAATCACGGGTTATGTTTTTTGATTTTTAGCTTTAAAGACTGCCGGTTTGCGGATTTGTTTGACTACCGGGAAATCGGATTTTAAAATAACTTTAGCGATTTTCATTTAAAATAAGGATTTGCTAAGTATGGTGCGGGAGTACCTTGAAAATAATATTCTTTTCTTTTACCGCTTTGTATGGTAATCGGCGACCATTCTCACATTTCACTTTCCGGCTCCTCGGAGAATACGTAAAGCCATTAGTTTGTGATTTAATCTAGGAAAAAAGATAAGAGTTGATAACAAGTCTGTCTTAATAGTCCAAACAATGATTTCATTGATTTCAGATGACGTATGTAGCCGAGTGATTTTTAAAAATATGCAAACGGTGCTATGCTCTTTAAAATATTTCTTAATATTTTAAATATAATCATAAATATTTCAGATACCAAGTTAGATAGTAGTTGTTCACTCGTCTAAAAACTAAATGATCCCTTTATTTAAGGACCTTAAAGGGAACAAAATAAAGTAAAACCTCAATTCTAAACTCAATTTTATATTAATTCAATAAAATCCAATACAAAATTACTCAATTTATTGAAATAAGATTTATTTGAAACAACTTCGCTTCTATTCAACAATTTACGAAATTTTACGGTCAAATAAATTTCGGTCCCCGTACCTGGCTAATATAAAAAAATATTTTGCGGACCCACTTTTCATGCGGCTGTGAAATTTCTTAAAAACGGTGACAAATTGAAGGAATCATGAGTTTGTGATATGGGGGTGGATAAGACAGACGGATGGTGAGCATCCCAAAATTATAAAGGTTATTTACGGTAACGGAACCTTCTTGTCATGATAGGGTGCTTGAAGAGGGGGAAAATATTTATAATAAGGAAGTTTGATTATTTTTAAAGCACTTTACGATGCGGTATTTTTACGCAATATATTTTTTTCTGTTTCGGGAGCATTTCTTCGTGTTCTAAATCTGATTTCATTCATCAACAAGAATAAACCGTTTTTGAATAACACAAAGAATTGTTTTAAGTTGTTAATGCAAAGCAATCCTTCACTTAGCTACCGAGCTCACACAATTTATAAATAAATAATGTACAAAACACCTTTTGTTCATATAGATATTAAATTTCTTACTCATGTCACATTGTACGTAAAGTGAACATAAAATAATTCATAAGTTATGGTATGTTTAAATAATTAATGCTATTGAACGCACCCACGACACGGGAGCCTACTTAATTAAGCCCTTCAGGGAAGATTCTTTAAGGTAATAATGAAATATTATACAATATATGCCATAAAAATAAATGTAAGCCTTCGTTGTCTACGCCTTATATACCTACCCGTTTATAGGCTTGCAATTTTTCTCTATTTCTTAACTTCCTGGCAGAGGTTCAAAACGATCGAGGCATACCTCAATTTCTCTTTTAGACTAGCCATTTATACCTAAGACCTCACGAAAAACGTATTTTTATATCAAAGCAAACAAGTGATTTACAAAAATAAAATTATACAAAACGCTTTTTAAATTTAATGATGGATACTGTCGACATACGTTCAATTCGATATAACTAATATAAAAAAATATGTGTCTCCATATAATGTAATACACATACATAGCTAAAATTCAGATAGTCTTAGGAGTACTTTCTCTATAAGTCGTTAATAATATAAAATAGCATTATAACTTTTCTTTTACCAGTTTGTTTGTCACGTTAAATAGACCAAATACCAAACTGCAAACACGGACAGACTTAAGGCCGATGCTTAACTAGAGCCGATTGAAATGTAGTTTTTACATAGACCAGCTGGCATCTGACCTCTACAATTCACAAGGGTGTTACGACATTCGTGGTTCGACCCGTTAACAAAGTTTCGGTCCTGTCTGTCGTGACTATAGTAGTATTGTAGGTGATTGTATAATAATTGTGACCGGGAATTTACCCGCCCATAAATAATCAGTCAGTGACTATTGATCAGTGTTTTTTGTATTGTAATTACAACTTATAATGTAACCGATAATAATATTTATAACATGGCATTCTTACTCACATGCAGCGTATATTTTTTCGTCGGTAAATAAACTTTAATGCTGAAAAAGCAGCGTACCAAACCATTAAACAGATATGGTCCATCATGAATTCATATATATTTTAATGTAGGTACATTGTCATTTGGACGAGTAACTTAATTAAGTACACGTGTAAAAATGTTCACACAAAACAAGGCGAGCATGCTTGCCTCCCAGATCAATAATTTAGGGGTGATGACCGAGTACCTATTACATAATTTCGTTATTGTTATAAAATTGAGATTATTTTAAAATGAATATCTACTAATTTTCATTAAACTGAAATTTCTAACTTGAACACTAATCTAGGTTCCAAAGAGAATCTCCGAGATGAAAGTGGTTTCATTAATTAAGTAATTAGGCGCACATGAACAGGTCAGGGTCTCTTCTGGATTAAACAAATTATATTCAGAATATATTTTCAACTGGAAGAGAGAATAAAGTCTCGAATTTCTTAGAACTTACATTCGCTAGTTCCGTGAGAGCAGGTGACGGAGTTTACGAGGTGCACTCGAGAAGGAATGTTTAGTGCAAATTGCACAGAAGACATTCAGTTGTGCCGGTGATAAATATAACGTCAGATGATAGACAGAGTAACGAGCTCTTTGAGACGAATAAATAGATTTCACGTCCAATAAACACGTACATGCAAATGCATGTTAGGCAATGTGTAAAACAATGGACTCTGTGTATTTGACAACATGTTTGGTGCAGTGGTAAAGCGATTGGCTGCTATGTTAGCGAAGGCTGGGTGGCTTCTCGTTCCCTGGCTTCTTCATTATTATAGATAGATTTCTTGACTTGACACATTATTTCAATTTCACTTGAGTGCAGTTTAGGAAGTAGGTACTTTAATTTCCACATCGATTCTCAAATTTTACGCAGATGAAGCGTGCTACTAGAAAAATCTGTATTTTATTTATCATTCATTTATGTATGAAAACTGTGTACGACTGACATGATGCATTTATTTATTCACCAAATCGGATATTTGAGAATGTTTTGAATACCAATAGTTTGGACAGCAAAATTAGGCGGATGTTCGATAAAACAAAGACTAAAAAATTTATACACGTTAGTGAAGACTCGTTTTCCTATATTGGATATTATTAATGATTTATTGAAAAATAAAATGCATTGAAAAAGTACCATGACAAATCATCGCTATTTATGTCAAACAATTATGAACCTATGCGTACCTATTTTTTGGATTACTGTAGATACTTATTACATTACTAGAAATAAAAGTGAAATAGATAATAAAGTTTACCAGAGCAGACTTAAAGTGGGTCCAGTACTAAATAATTATTTGCGACAACAAGCGAGTGTGTCGAACTTATCCTTTTTGTAGCAGTGGTTCTGTTTGTACATCTGGTATTTGCTAGCCAAGCAGCTCCTTTGTAGGATAAGTAAGATTTTACACAGACTCTAGTATATCAGTAATTCAAGTCAATTTGAACTTCAGACCGTTTATTTCTATATTTCAGTTAATAAATGACCTCTCTAAATTGTAAGAAAAATTTATGATATAGAACTAAAAATTTCGAAGAAAACTGTAATACTCGTATGATGGTTTTTGGTAAAATATTATTTTAGTTATGTTGTCTACTCAGATATTCCAGTTCTCGCGGGTTAGTTTACTGTTATAACAAGAAATGTTTTGTGGTCCAACTGCAGCAACTGTAAAAGCAAATTATGCTAAAGCTAAACACGATTAGTATCGTCTGCAGACTTGCTAAATCTATGGCCAGTGTGTATATATAAAGCCGCGAGTGCAAACAGCAAAGTGTAATTACCAAGCGAACAGTGGCAGCAATGTTTACGTGCACGTGGATATTTGGAATAGTTGTGTTCGGTACAGTGGCGCTACCTCGCCGAGTGCTGGCACAACCCAGCGCCTACCCACCCAACATCACGACCTGCGAGCAATTCGAACGATCAGCTCGATTCAACCCATACGCACTCATTGATTCAATGTGGAAAATATTTTACTTCTGGTCAAATAATACCGAGTTAACTCCTATTGTTTTCGCGTTGGCTGCTAAAAACGTAAGTACTTACACACATTTAAATTATTTTTGTTAAGTACTTACCCGGAATATGCTCGAATTTGTTTTAGCATTTTTTTCGCGAGCCCCTGCAAATACGAATTTCAAAAAGGGACAGTTGTTCATTATGACGGGTAGTCCCTCTTAATTAACATAGGTGACTGAATTTTAAAATTTTACCTTAACCTTTGTATAAAGTATTTGCGCAGATTCCACAGTGTGGTGCCCGGCAAAGTATTCCAGGCAATCTTCGCTTGACATTTCTTCCGGCGTATTGGGATGTAACCCAATTTTCTTATTGTCCCTACGTACATATCGTCCCCACACAAACCAACAATCCTTTTCGTAAGGTCAGGTATTATTTTGTGAAACAAATCTGACGCGTAGAAAGTGAAAGTATTCTTTACAGATTTTGTATTTAACTTTTTATTGTGCTTTGCATTTCAATTTACATTTTACAACGCTTTTTTTCTTTCGTCACAGAGGGTTAAAAAGTTTAAGAGCATATTCGAAGCCACGAATCCGGGTATGGATGTGGAATGGGAGAAAGCGACTTTGTTCATGAACCCGAGGGCTGGGGTGGAGGTGCTGTTCCTATACGCCAGCACTCCAGGAGCCTTCCGCGCAATCGTCCTGAAAGAGCAGCGTAATAAAGGTGCGCTATATTGCCCCCGCCACCCTTCACCCCCCGCTGCCATTTCCGCACCTAACTTTTCCCGCTCGACTTGACTCATAATGATAATAAACAGGTCGCATTTCAATTTTTTTTTTCAGTTTTTCATGGTCTACACCTAATGACCTTTACTGTTTCATCGTTAAAATTGTTCTCCAGTCTTAAACGTTTTTTTTTTATATCGTACAAACGTTCAGAGTCAAAAGTTTATGTTAACCTATTAAAATTAAAATATATGGTGTTTGTAATGTTGGATATCATAATTAGATTAGCAACTGAAGGCGAGCTAAGCTGCATATTTATGTAGCTTAAACTGTAAGTTGGATAGTGAAGTAAGTAATGGTTTATATTACAGCACGCCCGAACCCCGAGCCGTTGGTAAACTTTGCCGACGTGAGGATGAAACTTGTTGAGCGATACCTCGGCATGATGTGCTGTGAAGATCTCACGGCATTTGCCCTGGCCAAATTAGCGGAGATGCCTAAAACTGAGGAGAGATGCCAAGAAGCAGCTGCTGCCATTGGCTACCAAGGCTACGAGGGACGATCCTATTTGTCTCTAATGAAGGAAAATGATGAACTTTGACATTAATTTTACTTAGTTATTACTTGTCGAATTGCGTTTCATTTCAATGTTACAGGGATTTTTGTAATCCCTGTATTGATACATTACAATACAGGGATTACAAAAATACTCGTTATTATTATATTATATAGGTTTGTTATTTCGACGCAACTTATGTGTACCTATTTGATGCCAAGTCGATATGCTGCATCGTTATTATCGATCATGCGGCAGAGCAGGTGCGTCAGCTGTTCATCTAGTGCATACTGGCTTTAGTTAGGCAATTTCGTAAGCGATTCAAACTTTATGCGCGCGACACGCGATCTATCGCTCACGTCAAACAACCTGTAAACTGCAAACTACAATTTGGCATTATAAAAAGCAACCCAATAGATCACATAGCCAATCGAGAGCTTAAAAACAAATCTAAATAAAGCCGATATAAGCCTACCGGGCACTAACGTACATTTTATGTAAGCTACAAAAATATTGGCAAATGTTAGTAATATATCCCTATTTCCGAATGGTGCGCCCATAATATTTGTATGATGTGTTTAGTGAATAATGTGGGAAGCGGGACATCTCATAGTCCCGATCTACCGATAAATCAATTGCCAACACGCAATACCTTACGGTTACCATAAATAAAATATGTTGTTATTTACACACACCTACCCACCTACCCACTTACCCATAGATAGCCGAACTGATATTGTGATGCGGGAAAAGGATATGGATGAGTTTGTAATTAATAAAAAATGAGGTATCCTTAAGATTTGGTGATCAACGCCTCAAAGAGAATACGAAATATCTCCTTTTGATTTAAGATTACGTGATCCCTAAATCCTTGAAGATCTAAAACGCTACTTGAGTAGTCCTTTTCATTCTTTGCTACAATACTATAAAGTATGACATTCAAGAGTGCTTTAACTTTTAGATCCCTAAAACTTTAAGATAGAGTTATTTTTATAACACTTAAAAGAATGTCGCATCATGAAGTATTTATACATATTTTGTATTCAGCCTGTAGTAAAAGTTTGGGGAAAGCTGACTTTGACTATCATTAAACCACATTTTGTTATCAGGGAGATTTAAGGCGTTCTAATTTAAAAAATAAACATAAATTTTACAACAGCTGAAACTTGCCAGTCATTAATTTATAATTAGATTTTATATTAAACTTAAATAAAACCTTGAAAACCTTATCAGTAAATGTAATAACTGGTTGTTTTGCGAGAAAACTGACAACACAAATAAATAGGTGGGTATCAAGTCGGCGATCTACATTCAATAAGATGTCGTTGGCGAGTGCCCCGGGCCACCCATATCCAACAGAGCAAATTTATTTTTCTCCCAAACATACTAGACGTCAACAAATAAGGTTATTTTCAATATAGAAGTTTTATTCATTCTTTTACAGCAGGTATAAGTGAGGTCACTCGCTCGACAGAACTATAACTCGGCAACTAATAGCAATACATTATTTATGTTTTGCTACTGGTTAAATCATACATATTATGGAACACATGTTCGAGGTGGCTACTTAGGTATGCCACTCTGAACAACTCACTAAATATTTAACGTATTTGGTTTCTGATATGCTATTTGTTGATATACTATTTGTCAACAAACAGTCGAATATTATTAATATTATGAATCCGAGCGAAACATTCGATTTCGTATATTTCTATGTTCAACGTTAGTTGAATAGCAGATGGATATTGGAGGCCAGTCGGGCTGACAGCTCTGAGACGTAAAGAGGGGATTCTAAGAGGATATTAGCAGCCTCGAGTTATAATAACGCTAGCCACCGCACTTATGTATTGGGGAAGCTCTTGGCACCGACGATCGTATAAACCTTGGCAAACTACAAATCACATTAATGAGGAGAGATATAATATTGTACATACATTCTGTCGGTCTCTACTCTCAATGAATTCGGAAGGATACAATTGCTTATTATTCCGTCCCCACTATTGTAATTGAACATATTGTTGGCCATGTACTGCGCGGTAAACAAAATATAATAGCACTTGTGAGTATATCAGCTTGTTAAAATAGGCCATTTTTTTTTTCTTTGATAATGGGTAATATTTATTGTAGTTAATAATATACCACTGATGTAAGCAGTGATATAAATTATACACATTGTTCTCTCCAAAAATATGTTACTAGTTGTAAGCTAGAAAATCTTCAACTACATATTATATTATATGTGGATTCACATTCCGCACTGTCCTCTTATACCCTATAATACCAACATAAAAACAGATTTTCTGCTAAAGCCGAAAGTAAAGTCCGAATCTGAGAAAATATTATGAGAGTACAGATAGCAGTGTCCCCTTGCACGTCTTCCTATTTACAGTATCCGAAGGAATTCCTATTAGTAAATGTTGTTTTCTTTCTGACGGAACCATAAAAAGTTCGCTGTTAAATGAATGCTCTGTCGAGGGTCCGAGTAAAATGTTTAGCTCACAATGTTTCCAGACTGTAATAAAAACAATCGTTGAGCTGATATTGTTGATGCAAGAAAACAATTAAACCTTTTACACTGCGCTGTAAGTAAATAAATTTAGCTAGTAGAAGGTTATAAGACGCCAGTCTGGCATCCGACGGTGTCTTTAAAATTTTAATTCAACTGATCACATAGTCGACGTCGTGGAGTATAGTAAGTCTTGACGTGCGTTTACTTAGCGAGTCAAAGAATACGTCCTGTGTTGGTATATTACTCTGGAAGTACTGTGATTAATGTTTGCTTTGCGTTGGTGTCTGCGAATGGGAGGCACAAACCTGCCTTCTCTCAACATCAACATTGCGTAATAGTTAATTTAACTTAGGTGGGTAGATAACGATAATGCCTAAATGGCTAGATGTATAGTAGTAGCTAAAACTTCTAGAAACATCTTATATGAATGTATGTAAGATGAAGTTTGAAACTCAGTTACAGCTCTGGCGACGGTAAGGTAAAATAAATTTCAGAAATAAAAGTAAGTATTCCAGATTACTTTATAAGGCTAAATTATTATGAATAATGAAGATAATGAAAATAAAAGCGCAGTTAAAGGCAAACTAAAAATATGAGTCTTATGATAAACATAACTAGTCTTATTCAGGTTCCTAAGAATTCGAAGAAGCAGTTAATTTTGAAAGGTAAAAACAAAGCTTCCTCTTGTGAGATAAACTTTTATTGTATGCAAACATGGAAACGTATTTCTCAGTTGTTCTTTCATTACCAGACAAAGAAATGGATACGCGTGTGTTATTATAGAGGCTTGTACATACAATTTGATTTGAAACGATGTGTCCATAAAACTGTCATTTCCTTACTGCATTTAAGTAACAATTCGTGAATTTTAACTAATAAAATCGTGTATCTATCTACAAAATGAAACATTTTAACAAAACAAGAATCACGTTAAATTTTTTTTTACTGTAATTTCCAGTAGTGCAACATGTGAAAAGCTTTGTTTAGTTCCGTAGAAATACATTGTTTCACATTCAAGAGGAGTTTAAGTGGATTTCCGTTTTTACATTCACAAAGGCGTTCTCGTCCTACCACAATTTTTGTGAATGTTTAGTGGTTTACTAGAGCACACCGCAAGTATGTTTTTAATGAATAGCAAAGAAGGTTCATTATATACATACCTAACGTAAATAAACACGGAAGTTGTGAAAAATATAAAAACATAGCTAAAATAAAACAACGATGTCAAATATTAAGACTATTATGTAACCTGAAAATTGAAGAATTCAGGCTATAGATACCTACTAAGGGTATGACAACACAGTGCAAAAAGCATCAACATTAGCGGAGCCTATATGGTTTAAGTTTTTGCATTGCGACCAACGCTTTGATGTGTTTTGGCCCAAATACCCAAACTTAATAACTAAACATCACCCTATATCACATGCGCCATTTTATTTCGCCAACTATCAGGACAACTATATTTTGCACAGTTTATCACAGAACTTAGGCGACCCTCAACTTTGCAATGTTATTGTAACTAGACGGCGATGACTGAGTTCGGAAGGCGACATCGATTCGGTACAATGCAAACATTTACTTTTACGTCAAGTAGGTACGGCTCGACGTAAGTGCAATAGATGAGGCCCATGTGTGCTGAGTAATCCCATTCACTGTCGTTCTCATTATTGACCTCAAACAGCGCCGAGCGAAAACTTTTCTTCGTTAATATTCCCTATTCTTCGTATATGTACGTGTTTTAGTGTGCCAAACCAGTTGTAGAATGAATTACTAATGGAATCAGAGCGGTGTCTGTCTGTCAGTCTTCTGTGACGTGCCTTTTTATCCGCCCCTTTCGTAGTATTTGCTCTGGTAGTCAATTATATATTAAGCGGCAAAAGTGATTTGATACAGTGTTCGCAAACACATATGTATGTATAAAATATAGCCTGATGTAGGTACTCATATCGAATACTTTTTTACTTCACCTGCACGAATGCATATTTAACAACAAAAGAAAATATTTCGAAATAAATTGACTTTTGTGCTTCCAGACGTAGTACATCTTTGTTTCAAGTCTACGGTATAAATTTTTAATCTGAAGCCCTGCAGGAGCTCGCAAAATTAACTCACGATATTAAGTTTCATGCACCAAAAAAATATATTTAAAACAACATAGTTTCCGAGCGTTTGCCGGGTGAGACGTTCATGTTCACATCGAGCAATGTATAGATATTCTCCTGGTAAATTTACTGGTACTAGGTAGGCTTACGGTGGATTAAGGTTAACTATACTCCATAAACGCTCCCTCCTAATAGAGTTACAGTGTTTAGTAATGGCGGATAACAAGCGACGATGTTTGTTCACACGATACTCAATATGTGTATTATGTTTTGTAATGAGGCGTCGCGCACCGCACCGCCAGCTTCAGCTGAGCAAGCCAAGAGGATTCATTATCTCAGACGTCAGCCCTATTGTTCATTTCTTAATAAAACATACGAGCGTATTTAATTAACTTCTAATTTTCAAAATTATAAGGTGCGTGCCAAATTGTAGT